AGATGATATGTGTGTGTATTTGTAGACAGCTGTCTTGGCTGTTGTGTTCAGGTGAAAACCGCCACACCATTGCTCATAACAAGAGGAATACCGCGTGAAATCATCAACCGATAAGACAAAATTAATTGTAGATACTCACACAAACCAAAATACAAACTTATAGGTATACGCACATATACATACATATGTATACATACATCAAGTGTGCTTACACAACGCGATATCACAACCGTTTTGTTTACAAACACAAAATGCGTTCTATTTATTGTTCTTTATAAATTTTCATATAGTTTAAGGTAATTTAACTTAAATTCGTTGATTTATATTATGCGTACAGAATATGTATGTAGATATAGCCATTCTCTTTATATGTATATATGTATGTATCAATTAACTTTTGCAAAAAATAGCTTTGTAGCAGACTTCTGGCTCAATAAAAACCAATAATTAATGGGCGTTGGAAAACAAAGCAGACGAAACACAAATACATCTACACATGTATCCACTTATGAATGTACAAGAGCATGATGTCAATATTTTAACAACTTGGTTTTGATCTGCCAGTTTGTATGGCAGCTATAGGCTATAGTAGTCCAATATCGGTGGTTCCGTCAAATGGGCAGCTTCTTGGTGAAAAAGGATTTGTGCGAAATTTCCGATTGATATCTAAAAAAATTCTAGTCCCTAATTTTTCGCATAAATATAGTACAGTCAGACGGACCTGGCTAAATCGATAATTGATAATTTTTATATGTAAACTTTATATTATCTCCTATGGTGCATTCATCGTAGCAAGCTTAATATGCCCAGTTCCGGGTATAATAAGAATTTTTATTTTGAGCAAATTTTGGAAAAATAATCTTTAATATCACAACAACTAAATTTGATTTTGGAGACTCCCTCAAACTATTTTAAAAACTGTGATGTTTTTCAAACGAAATTTTTTTATAATAAATGTTTTAAGAGTTAAGAATTATTAATATTTTTACAAACATATGTAAGTATGTA